TTTCAAGGCACTAATGAAACCACATTAGGAATATTTGAAAATGTAAAAAAACCATGCTAAAATCAAGTAGTTGGAACCCTGACTATGTACAGTTATTTGCAGCTGATACTGTTATTAACTTTGCATTTTGTCCCCCTGTCCAAAAATCAATAGAAAGTAAGAAAGAAAAATCACCTCTAGCTTGTTGCTCTGTACATAATCACAAAACAGAAAAATAACATCTAATTAAAGAAAAGAAAACAAAGACATTTCACTCAGACGTATACATTAGCTGTCAGGAACTAAGCTTTATATTTTTATATGATCAAACAAAATACAAATAAACTCATTTAATTTTACTGAAAACCATTAGTCTTTCTAGAAACAGTAAAAGCTACTGACAATTTAATTTTTTTTTAAAGGCCTGATGTTATGCAGTTAGAGATTCAGCTGAGTACTTGTGTTATGTCAGGAGTCTTCATCTGGGAAACATTCTCGCTTTTGCTCACATTCTCACTCACATTCTTGTTCTTTTGATTTCTTAAAATTGTTTATTAAAAAAGCATTTTGCTTATGTAATCAGATTTGAACAGATTTTGAAATCCTCAAACAGATTCCATTTCAATAAAGTTTTTAAGTGTGGGGAATTTAGGTTATACATGTGACATGCTTTATGAATTTACTTTTAAAGCCAAACATGATGAAATCTTTTAAAATCGAAAACAAATTATTCTTTTGTCAATCCCTTCAAGTTTATAATAGAATTTTACATCAGATAAATTTTATATTATTTCAGAAATATGTGATACACAAAAGAAAATAAAATTTTCCTAGAATTTTCCTTCATGTTACCATGTAGACCTATTTTTCCCCATACCGTTGCCCCTTCTTCTTAGGGAGAATGTGTTTTCAGAAGCATGGCTGCTCTGTAGTGTACCTTCAGTCAACGTAGCCAGACACAGTATGAATATGTGGTATAAGAAGGAAAAATCTTGAGCCTGTTCTCGTAGCAGGGTTACCTGTTAGACAGGAAAACTTAGTGAGAGAACACTTTACTGTACATAACCTTGGCATCACTTCACGGAGAACATAGTTTCACCTTTCTGCCACTGGGGAGAAACCTTGTTGAATATTTTGCTGGTTTCTATGCCTTTCTGTGTTCATTATACTAATCAATGGTTGCTGCCAAAAATTAAACAGGGAAAGGAAGAATCAGAAGGGTATTAGCAACGTTTCTTGTGCAGTCATAGACCAGAACATAAACAACTGTATTAGAGTTGTAGATGCTTCCTCTGAGGCATCATTTTGTTGAAACCTGATGTCCTGCCTGAACTCTCTAAGTACAGCGATTACATTTCATAAAGGTCTTTGAACACAGGCATTAATCTAAATGGCAGGTAGCAAATGAAAAGAATTCCCTTCTTATACTACCATATTATATTGAACTCTATCCCAGACCAACATAGAAAGCTTTTTTTTCTGACAGTTTCTTGTTGGATGCTGTATCTTGGAGATCACTGTACCAGCTTTGGACAAAGCAGTGTATGGAAGTCGTTGATTTCCCCGGGAACTGAGTATCTGTTGTCAGTGAAGATAAAGGTAGTTTTCCTGAAGCGTGCACAGGCTTAGCTCCATTAGAAGTCAAAAACTAAGTAGCAGTTTCTAAAGTGACCTCTGTTCCTTCCTAGCAGAGTGAATACATGCATATCATACCCCATTATCTGCTTGGTTGAAGACTGAAGCAATTACAAAGATTAATGTAAAGGATGTACTAAGTCAACATTCACTTCTAAAAAGGATTAATGAAAAGAATAAACAGGATGAAATTGCAATTCAGATATTAAATGGAAATGTGCATTTATTTTTACTGGGAAAATTTTGGTTTTGTTTTGTAGTTTGTACGTTCTGACTGAACATTGTAAATAAATTTAAAAAATAGGGGTAACGCATTGAAAAGGTAATACAACTAATTTTGAACAACTTTGATTTACTTTTAAAAGTGTTGCTTTGCTTTTTGTGGCCTAAGTTTACAAAGAGAAATATGCGTTTTTTTTAAGAACTAAATAACTGAAAAGATCTGTGAACCACTTAGTTTGAGTTGAAATGTTTTTATTAGGGTGAATGGAGTTACAGTGGCCCATTGCAGAGATATTTTGAATGTTGATCATTGCTGGCATGTTGTAGGTGCAGTAATAAGTAAAGAAGATGCAAAATGGGAGTTGGACAATGGTGTTAACATGGCTCTGCTTCTAGGCTAATGTAATCTGTTTCTCGGCCAGAGTAGTTTGCCAGGATGTAAACCACAACGTTACATCTATGTTGCTTCTGGTGCCTACTTTGCTCAGACCTGGCTTCAGTACCTTCTCAGGACACTGTAATATGAACCTTAAGGGCTTTCTTTCCTTTGGTGGGGTAGAAATCCTAAATATCCTAAATCAAAATCCTAAATATAATTAAATGTGTATAATCTACTAGAAGTGAATTATGACTGGTCCTAAATTTAGTCAAAATAAAGCATTCATATAAAATAATCTTAAATATGAATATCATGCAAAAACATGTCCTGTAAAAAGACAGCACTGTCATTAGCCAGCTGCATACAAATGGTCTTTGATTCTATAAATACCGTTTCTCACATGTGATCTAAAAAAAGCAACTCTACTCACTCAGCATTTGGAGAAAGCTGTAGACATGTCTGGCATATTCTTCTGTATAGAAGCTGAGCATGCCAAATTCTTGTCACTGGGCTTTCAAGGACTAAAGTGATACAGAGTTGAGAGTAAAGAAACAAGATCAGCACTCTACCATCTTAAACCTGGTGCGTGGAGGTGAATATTTAGAGCTAGGTAGCAATAAGATTATGTTGTGCACATTACGCTGTATCCTTTAATTGTGTGGAGATGTGCAACTTTGTGCTTATCAAGATGAAAGAAAAGTCTCTTCAGATTCAAAACTGTCAGCTTCTCTGAGAAAATAATGCTAATAATACAATGAAAAATGATAATGAGTTAGGCTATGAAGAAAAACGGTCCTTAATGCCTTTGGTGGCTAGGCTTTAATTCCTAAGGTGATCTATTACCTGGTATTTGGATACACACTAGCACCACTTATGCACCTATTGATCATTTGCCATCTAGAGATGATAGGCCCAGAGCGTGTTTTGGACTAGGTTTACAGTGCCAGTGAATTAGGTTTCCCAGTGTAATAATATCAGCTTTGGAAAGATGACCTGCCAGAAAGGTAATAGCGCAGGAGAACCAGATGGCTCTTAGCGAAAACATTGTCTTCAGTTCAGAATACAAGCTCTTCTAACTATCTATAAATAAAAAAAAAATATAGCATACTGATTGCATAGTAGCATTTCTTTTTACACCTTCCCTTTAAAAATTCAGGAATAGAGAAACAAAAATGCAATAAAAGCAAGTTCAGGGTGATCAAAGGCAAAGGCAAAGACATACCAGATTTTCCACACAACCATAGTTCTCCTTTGTTCAGATATACCAAGAGTGCATCTACCAGGGGACTGTAGGAGATGGTTTCCTCTGGGTTAGCCCCAGCTCCTGTATTAGCCTGCATTGCAGAACATATGCTTTGTGTCATATCAGCAAACATCATCCCTGTCATGGATGCAGCCATCCCTGCGAATCTGAGAGGGTCTTTCATTACACAGCCAGATGGCCATTTCCACAGGGTTCACAGGTAGACCAGTCTGGGAAGAGGGAGAGGAACATAAGCGAATGCAAACATGACCTTTACCAGCCTCCAGTGTCTGGAATTCACAATTCAAATACTTTGTTTTGCACAGTTTCTTCCATGGGGTATTAAATGAATAAGTTCGTGTGTTCACCTGTATCATTTAGTCTGTTTGCCCATGTTTCTGCTGTTATACCTACTATGATTGCTTACCTACAGAAACACAGTAGTAAACATGGAGTGAAAGAAAGGGTGACATTTATGTAAATTATGATATTAGGCAGTAAGCTAGTGACCACTCAGCTCTTAGCATTTGGGGTACATGAGGTGTCTGTAAAGAAGCACAAGTATGTTTTTTCAGTTCTCCTGTAGTGTGACCTGAAAATGAGTGGCTGAACAATTGGTAACCAACAGAGCAATCAATTTATTGAATTTACACCCCTCCCTGCCCTCAAAAGGCATTGCCATAGTCAGGGGAATTTACCATTCTCCACCTTATGTGTATTGCTCCTGTTCACCTTTCACACTTTTTTTATCAGTCTGCCCTAAGACAAAGAAGTCTCTGCAAATTGTATCTTGTAGCTGTGACTGTTCAGAAACAGTGGAAAAGAACGTGCTAATGCAGAAACTGTTATGGCATAGGACCAAGGCAAGTGAGTTGTTTGGCCTGCTTTCTAAAGTAGCTAGAGGAAAAGGAAAAGAAAAAAGAAAAAAAAAGGAAACATTCTTCATTGAACCCTTACCACAAAAAAGACATTGAGGTGCTGGAGCGGGTCTAGAGAAGGACAACACAACTGGTGAGGAGTCTGGAGAACAAGTCTTATGAGAAGAGGCTGAGGGAGCTGGGGTTGTTCAGCCTGGAGAAAAGGAGGCTGAGGGGAGACCTTATTGCTCTCTACAACTACCTGAAAGGAGGGTGTAGAGAGGCAGGGGTCGGTCTCTTCTCCCAAGTTACAGGCAAGAGGAAACAGCCTCAAGTTGTGCCAGGGGAGGTTTAGATTGGATATTAGGAAAAATTTTTACGCTGAAAGGGTTACTAAGCATTGGAATTGGCTGCCCAGGGAGGTGGTTGAGGCACCATCCCTGGTGTTTTTAAAAGACAGGTTGACATAGTGTTTAGTGACATGGTTTAGTGATGGGTTTTTATCAGAGTTAGGTTGATGGTTGGACTACACGATCTTAAAGATCCCTTCCAACCTAGACAATTCTATGATTCTACGACCTGAAAGTATCCTGCCACTCTACACCCTGATAGACCTTATCAAAGACCCAATAGCAGTGGGAATTGTGGAACTGATTTCAATTTGCATATCATTCTTTCATTGCAGGAATATCAAATTGATATATTTTTTGCTCAGACGTGGACAGATAGCCGTCTTCGCTTCAACAGCACCATGAAGATACTGACTTTGAACAGTAACATGGTTGGCTTGATCTGGATCCCGGACACAATATTTCGTAACTCGAAGACGGCAGAGGCTCACTGGATCACCACCCCCAACCAGCTGCTCCGCATATGGAATGACGGCAAGATCTTGTACACTCTCAGGTGAGCACTTGGCCTACAAGCCTGAAAGCTTCTCCTGCCTCTGGCATAGTACTGGTAATTTTCAGTGGTATCTTTGTTCTCCTCTGCTGTTTTCTTCCTCCTGCTTACCTGACCGTGCTTGACAAATACTGAAATATTCAGGCATAAGTACTGCAGAGTTGAAAAAACAAAGTCTTGTCTTTCTGAAAAAGAAGTCCTGAGAACTGAAAATAGGTCTGTAGAAGTTGGACTTTTTAGAGCTTGTAATAAAATCAGGAGCATGTAGTCCCACAAAACCTGTCAGGAAACTTTCTGTTCAGATTTAGGTGCAGGGCTGGATAAAGTATTTGTAGATTCATACTAATGCCAATACTTGATTCTTCAAATAATTCATGCTGAAAGATAATCTGTCACATCTCATCACAAGGGTGAATTGCTGGAGGAAAGGCTTTTAGAGTTTTTGTAATCTTTGTGATACCATCAACTGTATGATATTAGAAATACCGTATATATTTGCATAAAAAAAGCCTGTAGAAATCAAAATATGTGTTTACTTATGGAAGAGATGAATTGCTCAGAAGGGAGTTTTGCCATAAGCTGTATTCCACATGGCAAACATTTTCAGAAACATCCCTTTCACGCTACATTTTCTTCAGTGATTGTGTTCAGTGTATTCAGATCATACTTGCAGTTGCAGCTGGGCTCCAATAGCAAGTCTTTGGCAAACAATAAAAAAGGAATTAAACAGCTGGAAATGCTACTGACATTTTTAGTGCCATTCCTTTCTTTGGATTGCTCCACTGTGACAGAGCTCTTGCTTTTTTCAGTAGCCTTTAGCTAAAGACTTTAGTGATTAGGATGTCAACTCTGATACCCTCTTGGTTGGGTTGTTGGGGTTGTTTTTTATGTTGTTTTTTTTTTTTTCTATTAAGTCATGTTTCAGTATTTCAGGGCAATTGAAATGTCTAACTAAATAAACTATTTGTTGAACGGACTACAAAATTTGTCTAAGACGGCTAGTAAAGTGGTAATACTTGACCCGGTGGATTGTTTGAACAAGCATTTTTAGTTTGTGAAAGATGTTTTGGGTCCTTTTCTCCCACTCAGGTCAGCTTCTTTTTTACCTAGGAGGACCTGTTAAAATGATCAGTGTTCACTGATAACACTGTGTAATCCAAAAACAATTTATCTGACTTAAGTGAACACATAGAATTGGTATGGCAGGGAAGCAGTAGCTACTGTATGTTCTATACTATCAGGTGTTGATGAGCGTTATGTGATCAGGAGAAAGTGAACAGGTTCAGTAACACTCCATTCCTTTCCATCTTCCTCCCTGCCAGCTTTTGGGTACAAATGCATGCCTGCTGTAACACTAGAAATCCTCCTCTAGTGTCAGTGCAAAAACACTGTGGTTCCTCACAGGTGACCTTCCTCAAGACAGAGGTTTTTCTCTATGCCATTGTAAATTTGAAACAAACCTTTCCTAATCCATTTTGTTAGCTTTTTAATTAGTTAAAAGAAAAAAAAAGACAAAAAATAGCCAACCAAAAAACCTTACGCACTACACTTGCTTTATCTCTTTCCTGAAAAAGACTGGATAAGAAACCAGTTTTTAATGCAATCTACCTGGATGAACAGATTTACTTTGTAAGCTATCAGACTGAAGATTATCTGTTTTTAATAAGCAGTTTAAAATCATCTCCATTCATAGTGCTTTTTGTGTTAGGGATATCATGTAAAACAAGCTTTCAAGTGGGGTTGAACACATTTCTGCTAATGTTTGTTACAGCTGCACAAGTGAAAATAGCATACAGAAATTTATTGTTTTTGAGAGATAGTCCAAAATGAACTTATAGTTCACACTATAAGTTAATGCAGAGAATGTTCCCTGCAAGATTCTTGTGGAACTACGTACCACCACATCAGCCATATTTCGTGTTGTTTTTGTAAAGAATAATTTTTCCATCCCATGTCCTTCAATGATGAACTGTCACATGCATATGCCTGTCATATGCATATCCATAACTGTCATATGTCATATGTCATAAGCATATGCACAGATTTCTTGGGATCAAGAAACTCTTAATGAAGTGTCTGAAATTATTTGTGGTTTACATAATTATTACTGGTTTGGATCAGCCCTAAACAACCAGTGGACAATCTGTGAATATAGTCCTTTCCTTTCAGGCCTTACTTAATGCATGTCAAAGCGCTTTTGCATGATACCTGAGCTTACTCTGTCTCCTCCTCTGACTGTTGATTGTGCTGCTGAGTAGTAACAGCTTGGTTTCTCTGCAGGCTTACCATCAATGCTGAGTGCCAGCTACAGCTGCATAATTTCCCAATGGATGAACACTCGTGTCCTCTGATATTCTCTAGCTGTAAGTACTGCTTTGAGGCCTTATTGCTGTATATGACCAGTATGGAGAGCCACAAGTTTAATTCTGATTTCTGTCAGGTTGTTCAACCATTCCACAACAGGTATAGGAAGTTTAGGTTTGCTTAAATATTCAGGGGATTTTTGTTTTCCTCTCTAGCACTCCTGGTCGATGGACTTATGCCACGAAGTTTCCTGTAGAGTCACTCTGCTTTTTTTTACCAGAACCCGTCTTCTTAGTTGATACTATAGTCACACTTTCCGCAGGAGCAGATACTCATGTCAGTCTGTGCTATGCTAATCTATAAAATTGTGTCATGCAAATGAGAATAGAAATTGCAGTTTTCTTGTGGACATGCACAGCTTGGGGGCAAGCCCAGCAAGCTCTGAACATCTGAGTTCATAGCAAGTAGCATGGTAATGCATTTCTGTTCCATAATAAAAGTAAATGGTCTAATTACTTTAAATCTAATTTTCCTTTATTGGTCACCTTTTCCAGTAGTCCCAATGTCATATTTATGTAGTGTTGTTGGTATATTTAAAACCTACCACACAGTATTACTGTGAGGAAAAGTTATCTTCATGTTGATTCATCTGAAAAAACTTAAGAGCTGTTTGTTGATGGGTACACCTGCAATTTTTTTATCCAAAGTGATGCATTGAAAATGATTTACAAATATGTTTAAAAGGGTGTCCGCTAGAGAGTTTTCTTTTGATAAACCCCAAGACTCAGGATCTGTGTTCTCAAAAGTGAATGGGAAATGTACTGTTTTATTTTTATATTTGGAAAAAAAACTTGTTCTCCATCATCTCTTAAAAAATGATAGAAGAATTTAATGTATTCCTAAGACATATGCTGTTGTAATAGTGGGGTATTGATTTCCATTTATGAATAGTATACAAACAGTAATCTTCAATCAGAAACAGGATTTGAATTTCAGCTGATCCATGGTATATTCTTCTTTGTCCCCACAAAAGCATTTTAAAAGTATATACCGGTGTAAATATCTCCCTTTCCCCAAAAGCATTATCACTGCCATGACATTTCTTATGATCTATGTATGTAAGTGAGCCTGGGCAAAAATACACAGTAGTGTGCTCAATTCAGATGTATGGAATATATGTATAGTCAACTGACCAGGAGGCAGATAGCTCCTGAATGAGCTTTCTTGCTAATGAAAACTTGTCACTGAACTATACATACCTCAGCTATTTTTAGAAGCTACTCTTACCTTGTGGCAATCTGCTGCTATGGGAAAAGGAGTGTGTGATCTTAAAAATTAAATCCCAGTCCAGAGATACTAATTAAACCTACCACATAAATTTGATAGGTCCTGTGTTGGCAAAACCCAAAGAAGGTGAGCTCTAATAGATGGGGAAGTCATTTCAAACCTTGCATCCACTAATAGCTAGACAGTTGCTGAATGCAAGTAAGTTGTGTTCTGTGTTTTTTATTTAAAGAGAGGGGGTATCAGTGTGAGCTTCAGAAGACTGTGCTTCATGGCAGAGTTTCAAATGCATCTCGATTTGCAGAGGTTCCTCCTAATTTAGATCTATTAGCCTGAAGCCCTTCTGCCCTTGAAAACATACATGTATTACCATCATACATGTACTACCGTCTATGGAGATGGAGATTACATAGGGTCAAGCAGAAGCTGGCAGTGTCACAGTTTTTATATGCATTCTTTATAGTTTCTTGCCAGATGGAAAAACTCATGGAGGAATATTAAACTAATGTTTTATAGTTTTGTCAACATATTTGGTCATGTCGATAACAGGAGTTTATTTCTTTAGGTTCACACTGAATTGTGTTCTTTGAACAACTTTAGCACTGCTATTATCATAATAGTAGGACATCTCCTGTGTGATTTTCTTGTTTCATAACTTGGTTGTATTTTCAGTGTTGCGTACATTCATAGCAGTCTCAAGATACATGACATTCAGTGAGATTTATGAAGTGAATGACTGAGTGAATGCCTGAATGATTTATTACTGTCTGCTGTAGCAAGTTTCTGGGGGACAAGCTGATTATGAATTCCAAGATGTATATCTTTGAATAAAATACAAACGCTTGTAGAATTCACAGCATAGCTCTGCTTCTCTCTGCATGCTTTCATTTGCTCCCTGGCACACAAACAAATTCTTGCAGTTTCCTCTCTAGGCAAGCATAAAAAAGCACAAGTTTTGGAGAATACTCTCTACATCTCTACACACACTTGAACAAGGTTAATATTTGAAATTCTTTACTTTTTGTATAAATTTCCCTTGATATTTTTAGAAACATGAAACTAATCTCTCAAATAATTTCTGGAGTAGTTTCCTTTAGTGCCAACACATCCTAACCCTGCCGTTGCTCTGAGGAGAGCTGATATTCCTTAGGTGGGAATACTGAGCTCTACTTGGTCTGGTTGCCAGGACAAATAAGGAGAAAACAGTGGCTTATGTAAAAGAGACAATCTCAGTGTGCTAACAGTAGTTACTAAAACCTACCTACTCCTTCCTGTGTAAACTCATGTTCAAGAATGGTTCCTGTTTCCTGGAGCTCTTCAGTCTCTTTTATAGGAATTAGAAAGAATTGAAATAACTTGAAAACTCTTCACTCTCTGTACAAGTTTTGTATGTACTTCAGGTGACATGACAAAATGAATCATATGGCAAATTAGGGCATGTGGTAGGTGTGTGTCTGTTGTTGCAACCCTTACATATATGTGCACTCAGCACACTGCTTACAGGAGAAACCAAGTACGATGGCATAACATTGGGCCACTATGCAATGTAATAGTTCTTTCCCACTTTGTGTGCCACATTGCTCTGGTTGTTCCCATGTGCCAAGCAAGATTCTTTAATAGAGAGATGTTACAACATTGGCATCAATGCCAATGCGTGGCATGAATGTATGTTTCCCTGTGAATGTGACGAAAGAATCAGTGCTGTGACTTGATCTTGGTATGGCAATCTTTGATAGATTTTGCTCTATATGATCACATTTTTTTCATATGGTTATAAAGTACTACTGCATAAAAAGATTCTGTCAGTGTGGTTATTTGTTTGGGTTAATTTATCCTCCTGAGCCAAGGGGGGCTGCTGTGCTACTTTTGGTACTCAAATAGCTGATTATACTGTCTTGGTTATCTCTATTCAGCACTGATTTGAGCATTGTGGAAATAACTTAATTTCAGGATTCTGCCATAAAATGCAGTTTATTGAGGTAGTTAGGATTCACATAAACATCAGTAAGGAAGAAAAAATATTCTGTCTGAAGGATGATGTCAGCACATGAATAAGCAAATAAGACACAGGCAGCAAAATGCAGGCTGGAAATGAGAAGTCAAGCACAATTAATTGTGGAACTCGTACCACAGGATACTGTGGGGGCTAAAGTTCTGTAAGGATTCAAAAGGGTTTGGACAAATCAGTGGAAGAAAAATGCATTAGTACCTATTAAGCATAACGAGATCACTTTGTATTAATGGCTACTTTTTTTTTTTTTTCATTCTGAGGGAGTGAGAGTATTTTGGGTGAAATGCGAGGCAAAAGTAAAACTAAAGAACAGCACTATCTATTTCTTTAGCAATGCCCAGTTACCTACAACCTCCAGTGGCCGTATGCCTAAGCTACCTGAAGGAACTCTTTTCCATTAGAGTGACCACATGGCTAGTTTCCTGATGCCCTACATGGTTTTGGTTTTCCTTTGTCAGACACTGGTGGGACTCTTGAATGTTCTGGATTTTCTTCATTTGGGAGGGGTAGGCACACTGCAGAATGACATGAACATGTTTGCACCAAAACCTGCACAACAGTTGATTGTTCCAGGTGTTCATTTTTCAGCCCATCACAAACCTTTACCTCCTCTCCCCATCCGTGTGCTCACAATTAACTTAAATTCATAAACTCCTTCAGGCAACAGCATGTGACAGTCGTACCAAAATGAAGCTGACAAACCCATTACACCTTGTTTAGACCATCTGGTCTACTGACTTACTAATTATGTACAAGGAGCTTTATGGTGGGAATCTCTGCTAGATGCATACCTGAGGTCTGAAACAATCTGTAAGGCCATGCTTCAGGCTCTACCAGATGCAGTAATATTGAGCTGCAGTGCAAGATGTGAGAATAAAAATAGTAAGACTGGATTGATTAATAGGTTTTTGTTGCTTTATTTTTTCTTGCTGCTGTTCTAATCACACTACAGAAACTGTTGCTCATTTTAACAAGCACCTTAGATTTAGGCAATAGAACTAACAAAAGTAGCCAATTACTGATCTTTTCCTAAGTGAGAAGGTCTACAGGTTGCCCATTATTGGAGGATTGCTGCAAGGCAGCAAAAGGTGGGCATGCCGGGAATGCCGTTTTTACTGCAGGCACTAAAATATACACACAAAGGTTCACGAACAATTCAGGTGTTTTCGATTTAGTTGAAAATAGGAGAAAGGAAAATTTCCAGCTATTGATTGTCCAGGTTGCCCAGTCAGGTCTTAAATCATGTACTTTTAGCCTTCTAAAAGTTCAAGTATTTTTTAAGTGGTGTATAAAAGCATGCAAAGTATTGCAGGAAAAAAGTAAGGAAATGTGAAATGTATTTTAAAAAAATCATCCAAATCTAACATAGTGCTTGAAAGAAACAGATCCCATCTTTCTAAATATAAACTCAGTTCAATCAAATGCTACCCCTTTGAACATGAAACCTCTTATGGATATGCAATCAGTACTTTGAGTCTCATATCATTAATTTTCTAACAGAAGTAGCTGTCATGGCCAATTTTAATATGCTTCTTTATTATTCTTCCTAGCCTAGAAAAGCAAATGCCAGTTTTGTGGAATGAGCTCTGCTTTGTTTCATCTCATGTATCATCAGCAGGATCATTAATAAAGTCTGAGGGCAGAATTTTACTCCTGATGAAGAACAGGCCAGAAGGAACACAGCTTAATGTTCATATCTCAAGAGGAGTTCATTAAAGATGCTGGGAAGGCAAAAAGAGCTTTAATCCATATCTGAACTTCCCA